ACAGACCATAAAGCAGGGGATGCTTTAGGGCGGGGCTTACTGCGATTGACAGGTCTCTAATACGTGTTGTTCGGTCTGGGAGTTGTTGTTTTTTCATCTTACAACTTTAACTCTTTCACAGTGTGTTTTCACTTCATTAGAGTTAATTGTAAAAATGTTTGGGTTGTCTAAAGAATACAGTGTTGTAGCTCCGCCCTCTTGTGTCCCTTCTGTTTGCAAAAAACAAGATGGCGACAACCAAAATGCTGAACTCAAGGCTTCAAAACAGCAGGCCACAAACCAACGGGTGACGTCTCGATCTCTCCACCAATTGCATGTTTATATCTGACCACTAAACATCGGGCCACTTGCTAATGTCCTCCACTCACTAATAGACACAGATCTGGAAGGTCCCTTTGTTTCGGTTGCGTCCTCCATCTTTGCTGGTTAATAGTTTCACAAGCTATTGCAACTCTCCGGAATTCTGTTGCCAAACATGATTGCTTACAAACTGTAAAAGGGTCAGACCAGCATTTAACGATGCTCAGATGTTCCCGTAGAAACCCTTTTATTCTGAAACTATGAGAATCATATGGTACTTTATGGCATCTGACTCAAAGATTACTGCACATGATATTCCCACAATCTGCGTATATGAAAGAGTAATGTTTAGAAAGTGATGAATTCTGTGCATTTTTTTGTGTTAAAGTCAAATAATCCGTTGTTTTCTAAACAAGAGAGTGACAACACGTTCGCAGGATGTAAAATTGTGAAGAAAAAAAACCCAAACATAAACAAAAGGCTGTGACATCATGACATCAGAAATAAACTCGACTCAGATCAGAGTTTGTAGAGCGGAGGTCTTTGTACGTCACGCGTTTTCATCCAGCTGACAGGAATGTGATGAAAGTGAGACATGAATGAGGAAGGAGGCGTCGCTGGAGGGCTTTTAAAAAAAAGAGATCTGTGCTTCACCGTCAGCGACGCCTCCGGCACCAGCGATCAATTTAGAGTTCAGCGTGGACAAATAACAACTAGAAGCCTTCTCCCTGCACACGAAAAGCATGAATCTGACATCCAAAAAAAAAAGATGAATTAGACCCAGTAAAGTACCTCTGATTAAGTGGGACAGAAGGATGTTTAGACTCTTAAAGCTCACAGTGAGTTTCAATCAATAGAACAAATTGAACTGATTAATCAAATCCAGGAAAAGAAACTAAATTGTTTATATACGTTTCTACTCTGGATTAATAAAGATCTATCGTATCAAAGGTGCTGGTGCAAGACACTCTGAACAGCAGCAGTTATATTTCTTTGGAGAAATGTATTTTAAATGCTCTCCAGGAACGGACATCTCCGCCATCATTCAGATATTCCTTGTTTTATTGCTCGCTCACTATCTGTAAGTGTGAACGATTACTAAACCTGGGAGGCAGGAGGAGGAGGAGGCGTCTGCAGCCTCCAGGAGAGAAAACACATTTGGAAGCAGCTGGAAAACGAGTACTTGAAGTTTTTCCTCCCCCCTCATGTACATCTCAGAGGTAAACATTGTGTAATACTTTAGTGTACGACTCCAGCAGCTCCATAAATAAATCCTAGGTAGCAAAGACATGTACTTGGAAGAAAATGATGTAATTTGGCACTAATTATAGGCAAAACGAGACAATAATTAATTAATTCCAATTCATTTGTAACTGAGTCTTGAGAGTGAGTCAGCCGTCTTTTGTTTATTTCTGGGATCGTGTCTCGTCCCCGGACTCTTCATATCCGGAGAACGAAAACATGATTCGCCATCGTGACCGATTAAGAGCCAATTTGTGCTGAAATGAACGTTCCCCGACCCTTTTGATCACCTTATATCATCTTCAACAGGTAAACCAGCCACTTAGAAGAGATACACGTTCGGTGCACGTGTTGTTGAAAACATACACATGTTAAATACTTAACGGTGTGCAGAAGAAATGGATATTTTGTTTTTAAATAATTCAGTACATTACAATTTGTAGTAGGAATATTGATTTTGTATTTCTCGAAACACTTAATGCACAAAGGATTGTGGGTGTTTTAGGTGCACGGAGGATGCACATCCTGAAAGACATCCTCTGCACGAAGGACTCGGCCGTCGGTAGAAATCAAAGGATCCTCGACAGTTTCTCCGTTTGATGAAATAAAAGTGTAAATGTTCTGATTCTATTATCCATACTCAAACACTCACTCAAGTGTATTGACCCGCCCACTTCCACAGCATGATAGTTCTTCCAGTGAGCGTTATTATTTTAGATCTTAATTTACCCACAATGCTCTGCGATCGACCCCAGTTTGTTCTGTCAATAATTTTTTCCCAAAGCAGCCGTCGCCTTGTTGAAGCAGCAGATCAATACCGAACGAACGCGTCAAGGTGCCGTGCGTCTCGTTGTGTATCAGCAGACGCGTGCGAGTGCGTCGATGGCTGTCGAGCGCGCACGCACGCACGCACACACACACACACTTCGAGCCAAAACACAGCATATAATCCCTAAAAATATCTGTCATTTCTCCATAAAAACTAATTGAATTCCTAAATTAAAATACTAAAACGTCGAAAAAGTCCAGCAGCGCTCACATTGCAGCTTAAAAACAAGCTTTAGCGACATGCAACATCTGCAAATGCTCAGTGTTTACGAGTTGTATTACTCGCAAACACACAACAGGCCTTTTCAGCCCAGCTGGATAAAGACGTTTTGGGGTTTTGTTGTGAAAATGTCGTCGGTTAAAGTTTAAATTAAGTATGAAAACAAGGACGAGTGAATCAAGAGTCAAGAAGCAAAGCATTTAAAAAACTCTTAAAAACAAACAAGCTGCTGTGTTTGTTTTTTTTAGAGCTTTTACTAAATGTGACAAAACCTCCGGTGCACGTCGTCCATTCATATTCTGAATTCTGATTATTAGTCGTAATGAGGTAAGAGCTCCTTTAAAAGACACAAAATGTATATGTATAATTGATATGTATAATATCAACCGTGTGCGTGATGTCTATTATAAGTACTACACTACCCACAATCCTTAAGTGCAACAGCGGCGTCTCTGATTGGTGGATTTTTGAGGAGAGAAAAAAACAAAACTTCATTTTAGACCGAAGACTGTTCGTTTTTAAGCTTTTCAGGAGTTTCCAGAGGTGGCGAGTCGCCAATCGCAATTGTTTATGGGATAAGTAGTTCCTTCACTTATAAAATAATAATGTACACAGTCCTTTTTCCCCCGTTTGTTGCTTCGAATTAAGATGTTTTATGCTCTCGATTCATCTGGTAGTTGGTTCTATGCTTCACCTCATTACCTTCAAATGTACTCAGTACGACAGTCCGCTTCAAAAACCATCAACCTCTAATTTATAACGCTGAGAAATTATGTTTTGTGCCATTAAAACGGTTCCAATGGCGAGTTTCTGACTCCTTTCATCCGTCATTATAAAACAAACGTAGCTCAGCTTTTGAAGATTGCTCACAGAGGGAAGCGTCACACACACACGAGGCTGCACGGATTATTAAGTCTTACCTTGTAGACCTGCCCATAGGTGCCGTTTCCAACCAGTTCGACCAGCTCAAAGATACCAGCTGGGTCCTAAAAGAGAGAGAGATGAGGGAGGAGGAGGAGGAAGAGGAGGAAGAGACAAAAAACAACAACAAGACAAAGTCAGTCAACAGAACATAAACTGGATTCAACTGAACACAAGATGGATTTAGGAATGTGTGTGAGGAATTTGACCCACACACACTCACACACACACACACACACACACACACCTGTAGCATTACCCTGTGAAAAGCCTCCCTCTCTCTGTATCACCACACTGTCATTACTCCTTCAGTGGGGAACTAACACGCAAGTTTTCAGAAACCATCACATTCAGCAGGATTATTCTTCTGCACCTAAAACCACCGAGTCACATTCGACTTCCTGCAGAGATCCGAATTATGAAAACGTCACGTAAACAAACACGGAACCTTGATGAGAAACACGACGCGTGTAAACGGGTTTCTAACCAGCTGCTTCTTTGTGACTAAGTGCATGACAAAGACTCACAAAGAGATGAATCCCTGAGTAGCTTTCTAATAATGGTGTTGAAGTCAAGTTTGTCCAGCCGTTATGCTAAGCTAAGCAGAACAACAACGATAAAACACAGAGTAAAAAAAGATGGAGGTCATTGTGAACATTTACATCTGCAACAGAGTTCAGTGCAGATTATAACCACTGAAAGTAGAAACGCTTCTATAATATTAACACGGGAACTTCAAGTAAACTTTTTAAAATGATGCAAAAAAGAAGATAAGCAAATAAGTGGCGTCTCCATCAGCTGGTCTGCAGCGAATAAACTTTGCTTCAAATCTTTTTTTCAACAAAGAAAAAACCTCAAGACAGTAAAAACTTTTACAGAAACATAAACTTTCTGATGCCGTGCTTCAGAATGAGCATAGAAATATGTGAATGTAAACAAAGCTGTTGAAAGAGGAAACCCAGACGCTCACACACTCTCACACACTCTCACACACACACACACACACACACACACACACACTCTTATCTCCAGGCTGATTAAAATTCAGTAACAGATTTTGATCTTTAAGCATACCTGTGTGTTTGGTATTAGCGTGCATGTGTGTGTGTGTGTGTGTATGTGTGTATGTGTGTGTGTGCTCGCGCTACAGTTGGAGCCTCCTGAAGGGGATTAGTTTAAAAAGCAGCGATTATTTTCACTCAAGGTCAAACAGAAGCACATTTAGTCCTGGAAGACTGCACCTTGTGCGCGCGCACGCACACGCACACACACACCTGTACTTGCCTGTTGCATCCTTTAAGACCACACGCATAACAAAACCACCAGCGAAGAAGAAAGAAGGAAAGAGGAAGGAGCTGATGTTAAAACAGGCCCACCTGCAGGTTGCTAGCAGCTAGGAGGCTAATAAGCACACAGGTGCACCAAAGAGCATGAATACAAGTGTGTGTGTGTGTGTGTGTGTGTGAGTGCATTTATAAAAACAAATTTAACACGTTCAGCTCAGTGGGAGCACACAGCTTATAATTAAGGCGACAAGCAAACCGTGACTCCACAGCCGTGACTCCACAGCCGTGACATGATCCAGACCGTGAGTTTACCAGTCTCCTGCACCACTACGTGGAGACGGGCACTCATTCGTCTGGCTGCAGAACGCCATTTCTGTCGCCAACATGCACACTTGTATTTCTGATGACGTCAGCTGTAAAAGGGTCTATAGACGTTGGAATATACAGGAGAGTAAAGCCTCCTCCTCTGTTTACAACCTCTCTGACCGCTCGTCTTCCTCACCTGTTGGACTCTTCTAAATATATCTCAGCCTCTGATGGGACAAGACATCCAGGTTATTTTCCTTCAGGGGAAACGTAACGAGGAGGACACAACCTCTGACTCTGAAGTCTCACGGTGAGAGGAGGAGGGTAAATGAGATCATTTTGGGAAATGAAACAGGAAGTGTGTGTGTGCTTGCGACAGGCTTTGCGTCACACTTAAAACCCCCCCCCCTTCATCCTGGGTGACCTAATTTCTAGTCGGAAAGCAAGGATTCTCATTTTTCTCGGCTCTTCTGTCTTTGTCCCAAAGTCTGTTTGTATGTCTGTCTCTGTAACACACACACTCACACGATCATGTCCAGACTTGAGTGTTGCTCTGCAGGTACGACTGTGTTGCATAAGCAGCAGGCGAAAAGGAGAATAACGCGCACACACACACACACACACGTAGTTATATCGTTCATCTTTAGCTGAGCAGTTACATCCAAATAAGAAATTTCCCCTGAATGCATCACCACAGTCCATCTATCCTTCACACGCACGCACACACACACATTCCAACACTGTCTCCTTCCCTGCACACCTCCCCGTCTTTTGGCAGTCGCGCACGTGTACGCGCACAGACCAGCAGCCACTGACATGCAATGCTGCTGTCGCCACACCATCACGAAATGGCGGAACTCGCTCCTGTTGAGGTTATCATCGTTATTATTCAGTGTGTGTGTGAGAGAGAAAGTGAGCGCGTGCATGTGTGCGTGCATCTGTAGGCTCTGTGTGTGTGTGTGTTGTGAATCTGTCAGTGAGCAGGCAGCTTAACATCTGCCCCACATAATCGGCTGCAGACAGAGCGGCCTCTATTATGCTGTCTGACGCACGCGCACGAGGGTGGGTGCACGCGCAGTATAAGCAGCAGCAGCTCAGGGCCTCATTACATCACGTCCCAATTGTTAAGAAAAAAACAAACAACAACAACACTAGTGTCGGTGGGAGGCCACATGATCCCACGTTCTTCCATCCGACCTGATTTCCCTCAATCACTGGCCGCCGTGCACGAGCACTACAGCCCCAACACACACATACTAACGTACATGCACGCGCACGCACACACACCACCAGGTAAGCAAATCTAGAGGAAAGCGCAGGGAGACGCATCATTGCGAGGAGAGGAGGGAAGTGAGTGAGGAGGGAAGTGGGTGAGGAGGGAAGTGAGTGAGGAGGGAAGTGGGTGAGGATGAAGAGAGGAAATAGGGAAGGGGGGGGGGACAGGTGTTCAACAGCCCCCACACGCACGCGCGCGCACTTCGACACAGACACCGCATGCACGTGCACACACACAGAGAGAGAGAGGTAGGAGACATTACCCGTAGTGCAGACAGGTCTATCTCGTCCAGACTCCGCGCCGGGGAGTCGCTCGCCATGGTGCTCTCGGTAGATACGGGACTCAAGATGGAAGCTTCCTCAACGACCATCGACCGAGAGGTGCAGAGCGGCGGGGACGAACACACACGAACACTCCTCTAAAAGAAAATTTAAAATAAAAAAGGTCTCCCCACCACCACCGCCCCCCTAGAATGAAAAAATGATCCTCGATGTTGCGCGCTGTGCTCCAGGTTGCTACATGCTGCTCGGCGCGGTGAATCCGGCGCTACATACCTCCACCTCGACACAACCGAGCACAGGACAGGACTGAGGGAAGGGGGGGGGGGTGACACACGTGCATGCGCACAGAGATAGCGAGAGAGACGGGTGCACAGCAGCAGCCGAGGCGCTCACACACACACACACACTCACATGGAAACACACACACACACCGTCGGTCCGTCCGTCTGTGAGGTGGAACAGCAGCGCGCTTCCCGGGAGTGGCCTGCGAGGAGGCTGCGCTACAGACAGAGACGCCCACAATGACACACGCACACACACACACACGCGCACACACACACACACACACACACACACTTTTAGTGTGACAGGAGAAATACGCATATCTGCACAGCTGTCTGCTCCTGTATGGCGGCTTATTAAGGCCAGAAAATTGAGTGGCTGCAGGTCACAGGCTCACACCCTTAGCTGTCAGGGGCGTGCACGCGCACAAAGGGGGTCGACCCCCCCCCCCCATGCCCCTCATGGGACATTTACATGCTTCATTTATGTCTTAATGTCACATCAGAGACATTTAAGTGGTGCCTCCTCTGAGGGATCGAGCTCCAGTTAGTGTCCAGAAATAAGCATCTGATTATCCTAAAATATAAAAATATAACCAGCGACATTTGAATCACAGAGGTTTTTATTTTATAGTAACAGCTGCTCTGAAGGTGTTTCCAGATTCCTCAAAGACTCGTTGAACCATCTGGATGAAACATAATCTGCTGCATAATGAAATGAAATGTTTTTATGTTACAACCAGCTGGAAAGGACATCAGTGTTTTTGCTCTTTTCATAAAACACAAGCAAGATATTATTGCGTTGTATTGCATGAACATATAAACTATTAACAAACATAATTGAATTAGTTAAACTTGAATTGGATGCAGTACTTTCCCTACTTGCATCTGTGACTTTAAGAGGTACCTGTGTCTCAGGTGAAGGGCGTGTTCTTGGACTTGGCACCGCCCACCTTTGGATCTATTGTCCAATAGATTTGAAAGCCTCTTCAAACAGGAACTTCATTAGCTGTGATCGTCACATGCAGAACTCCTGACATGACACTCCCTATGATGATATGTATTCAGTATTATTACTTATATATTTTAATATAATAATATATAATTTATTTTTGGTTGTTTGGCATCTTTGTAGTCATTTTGTGTCTCTTTTCGGTAGTTTTGCGTGTCTTTGTGATCAGTTATTGTCTCTTTATGACTTCCCAGCACAGTAATGGCGGCGCCGCTATGGTGGAAGGGATGAGCCTTTACTGTATCTTTTGGTCTCTTTACATCTGGTGAGGACTCAGCATTACTGGTCCGTTTGTAAAACTAAAGTCCCTTTCCCCTCTTTTGGATTTCAAAGCTGCTGAGATTTATGACTCACCTGCAGGACACGCCCGTAGTCTGTTCTTAGGATCACACATCTGTAATCACATGCCGAAATCTGCAGGCACATGAATGAATGTTGACCTTATATAAGACAAGACACTGAATAATATATATATAAAGAAACCAATATCACATCATGGGACGATGTTGTCCCCCCCCACCCCCTACATAAGAACATGAGCCACCGATTCAAAGACACATTTTTGGTTGTTGTGCTTCTCTTTGTAGTTGTTTTGTGTCTCTTTTTGGTCGTTTTCCGTCTGTTTGTTGTGGTTTTCTGTCTTTTTTTGCTTGTTTTCCGTCTCTTTTTGGTCGTTTTGCGTCTCTTTGGGAATTCCCAACAAGAAAAGTTAGCTGTAACTTCAAACAGAGGTTCCCAAACCTTTTGGGCCCCTGAGCCTGCATGTGCCCAGCAGGCCTGATCCAAAATCCCTCCTTATACGTAAATAATCAGCACACGAGTGCGTTAATCGTTTTAATGCCACAGCTGCAAACAAACACATCTCTAGTAACACATCTCCTCAGAAGAACTCTGAACGTCCTCAGTCATGTTTCTGTCTGTGCACGTCCTCAAGTCTCCACATGCTGCTCCACTGAATCACTCCATCAGCGGAAAAACTAAATGTCATTTCACTGAACCGGCAAATGACTAAATTGTGTGTGTTGGAGCTGTAAACAGCAATTAATATGATGCGTGTCCCACCTTTTGTGTGTCTGTGTGAGGTCATGAGTCTCCTTCTCCGGTTGTTACAGACACAAAGTTCTCAGGACACACCTGAATCAGGGATGTCATGCCAAAGCAGGTTTACACACCCACACAAACTAATGTCTCCACAAAGTAACTTCAACTCTCAGCTGAAGGTTTTAGGCTTCACAGAGATCTCGTTTATCTGTTGCATTGGATTCCATTAGACTCCACAGACGTTCATGTTATGGTGTCCAGATGTCACTTTTTGGGTTTGACGCCAAAACACCAAATATTACAGCCTGCTGTGATGTTCAGAATCAGTGAACACATACATTACATTTTACTCAGGTTTGTTGTCAATGTTCTGACACAATAACTGAACTATAACGTACATACAAATATATATATATATATGTGTATATTTAAATTAGGGGCGTCATGGTACAGAATAATGAAATATTGACATAATATACAAAAATACAGGTATGATAATATCAGAGCTGCAATTATTCATAAGTTGATTAATTAGTTGTCAACTATTCAATTAACCGGCAACTAGTTTGATAATCGGTTGAAGTTATTTTTTAAAGTATAAAAGTCCATATATATATATATATATATATATTTTTTATTATATATATATATATATATATATATATAACCCTAACCCTATAACAAACAGTCTATATACAATTGCTTCTGTAAATTGTAAACAATTACAATAGTGCCTTTTTTTAATACAAAAATTTAATTTTAACGTGATTCTGACGTCATTAAGCTGCTGCTCTGACAGCCTCCCAGAGGAGTCCAGAACGAACAGACCCGGACCAGAAGCCCATTAAAGCCCATTAGTGCAGAAACGTTGGCACAGTTCTGTCAGTGTAAGAGTCAGATCCTGTGGCGCCGCCTAGTGGCACAAATGAGAGCTGCAGGATGGAGGAATTTGGGGTGTTTGTGGAGGTGTTGTGAGGACACAGCTGATGCTCATTTGCATCAGTGACAAGTTTTTCATTTTGGTGACAGTGTGAGCGAAGGAGGGAGGGAGAGAGAGAGACAGAGATGTGGATGAAGATGCAAACAGATCAGACGGAGAAAATGTGTTTCATTTACACAAATAATCCTGTTATAATCTTATCTTGTTCTGAGGCTTTTTCAAATGCACTTCTGCAAATACCTGCAAAACATTCAAAAACATGTTGTTCCTGAGCTCCCTTCAGTAACGTCCCGTTTACATAAACATTAAATAATATGTTTTCAGTAAAATGTAACTGAAATGTATGAAATCAAAAGTGTATTCATTCAAACACTTAAACATTACATAAATATGCTTTAGTATAACCTGAATGTAGACAAATCAAGTCAACTTTACTTGACTGAATCATAAAGTCACGCTCTGCGTGACGAAACGTCACTTCACCGACGTGACACGTGACCTCCGAGCGTGGACTTGGCGTTCTGATCAGATTCTGACCGACCGAGCAGGGCCAGGTTATAAGGCAAGTCCAATTTGCCATCTTAAGTAATATGTTATTTTAGAAGTATTTGTTTTACGAAGACGGATATGGTTCTTTTGGCAATTATATTTGAGAGGTTGGTGAATTTAGGTTAGCACGTGTCCGAGGATGCAGAATGGCCTGCTATGTGATTTAGCACGAGCTAGCGGCTTTGGTGCCGGTTAGCATAGCTCAAAGTTCAAAGTTCGGATTTTATTGTCATATATACACATGTGTAAAACTGGAGATATTCTACTAGTGTGAAGAAAATCTGATGTTGCCCAGGGAGGAGTGTAATGTTTAAAGGGCTTTTATGACTGGCTCCTCGCAGGTAATACACATCAAGTAAGTAGGCAATATGTCCTGAGTAGCATCATTAACTGACAAATAAACTACACACACTGCTATGTTCAACGCTATAACGTTACTGCTGACTTCTCTCACTCAAGCAAATTGTTTTAACATTTAATAGCTAGACTGAATATATATATATATATATATTGCAGAACTTAATTATTTTCTAGTCAAAAAGAACATTTCAGATATCCACAATTATGTTCTTCTTTGGAAAAATTACCAAATTTTTGCCATTCATGTGTTTTATTTTCAGATATCCATTATTGCATTTTTTGATCGTCTTACTCACATTTCAGATATCTACAATCCAGTTGTTACTAGTTCTAACTGAAGGGAACCCTTTTGGAACAAAATGGCTTACTTTATTGTAGATATCGACTAGTCATAATGTCAATTGCGAATATCTGTAATGACATTTTTAATAGTCGATATCTACAATAAATCTTTAATAGTCATAATGTATTTTAACCATTCAAAAGTACACTGTGGCAGTGGCGGGCCGTGCATGTTATACCTGGGCCTTCACTGCTGTCCTGCAGCTGAAACACAGCTACGGTTATTATTTGTTTGGTGTAAAAATGAAGCTCAATACTCCGAGAGTGCGTCTGCTCTCTGCTCTGACTGCTGCGCGAGGCTTCTGTGAGAGTACCCGCCTGTGAGTGCTTTGGGGTGGAGGAGGGGCTCACGGCAGCACCCGCTGCTCGTTCACGACAGTAACTGCAGAACGGTACGTGCTTTCACGTCAGAAAAGGTCTCTAGATTTGTCTCTAGTAGCTTTTGACAAAGAAAGTCGCCACGAAGGTTCGGAAAGTCGTCAGATTTAGCGAGAAAGTCGCCAAGTTGCCAACACTGGCACCCTAAATATGTCCCCAGAGCAACGTAACAATGGTTCCTATCACATAATAAACCAAACAAAAAATCCATCTTCATAAAAACAAGTTGTACAAACAATAATATATAAACAAGCATATTAAAGCTACTGCAGATGCAACAACAAATGCATTCAACTTACCAGAGCTGCTGTTCACCGTTTAAAGACAAAGTGCATCCTTCTCTCTTTGTTAATGAAGAGTTTTCTGATGGTTCACGGTTTACCGTGGGGGTTTAGGATTGGAGCAGAGACTCCAGCGCAGACTTAGACACAGGACACAATGAGAGGTAAAATGCAAGGCTCTTTACTGGGCACTTACGCATACGCAAAAACAGAAACCAAAAACAACTCCAACCGGGAGCAGAAAAAGTCCAAACTGGAATAGAAGCAAAGTCACAAAAAAGGGCTTGGTCACAAAAAAGCAAAGACACAAACCTTTTTGTTGTGAAAATATGCAAATTAGCTCATGACGTAATGGGTCGTTGCAAAAAATAAATGATTTCGGCAGAAACTCACTTTTTCCTGGTAAATAATTTACATCATTTTGACCTCAGACGTCTGTCTCTCCCGCTGCACGCGAGGATCAGCTGTTGCGAGTGGGTTCCACCGTTGCCACGGCAACGGTTGCATAGCTGCGGCGGTTTGTTTAGGGTGGGCGGGGCCGATGACGTCACGTCCCGACGTTCCTTTCAAGTTTGATTCTTTGTGACGTCACGTTTCAAAGGCGCCTTTGATGAAACGTTGCCATGTCATGTTGAATGTTAGATGAACTGTCACATTTGAAGTAACAGCCAAACAGTCAACATGTATTCAGATAAAGACAACAGATTTAGAGGCCAGAGTGCCGAATTAACTAGAAGTCAATTAAATAGCCTCCTTTCACTCCAGAAGGAGGTGAAGATATTGAAGCAAGATCAAGAAAGGTCACAGCAAAAACACAAGGGTGAGTTGAAGGAATATATGACAATGTTCGCGAAGGAAAGATCGCTAAGGCAAGAATCAGAAGAGCAGCGGGTTAACGCCACAGAGAAGTATGAAGCGTTGGAGAAAGCAAATTTGAAAGATTTCAACTCTAGAATTCAGGAGAAAAATAAAAAGATAAAATCTCTGGAGAAAGAATACAGACTCTTAAATGAGGAATTTACCTCATTTAAGAAGAAAGCTGTAGAAGAAAGCGTGAAGGAGGAAAAACTCAATCACGCTAAAGACATGGCAGAATTGCAATCCTGTAAAAA